ATCATCCATCCATCATCCATCCATCCATCCATCCATCCATCCATCCAGCATTCATCCATCCATCCATCCATCCATCCATCCATCCATCCATCCATAAATCCATCCTTCCATCCATCCATCCATCCATAAATCCATTCATCCATCAATCAATCCATAAATCCAAAACGCAGGGAAACAAAAGTGTAAATGTTGAATTGGCGTTCACACAGTTTCAGATAATTCCAACGTGCATTTCCCAAAGTTTTAAATAAAACCACACAACATGTTTTTCTGTGGTTTCCAATTAAAACGCCTCATCTTTCATGAAGCTGCAGTCAGAGGGGATCTGACAGATTGTACAGCACAGATAAACCCTAGGAAAGAATTTACACTTTTTAAATATCTGTACATCTTGACTGAAGGCTGCATATTGAACAGACTCTGGGTAATAATTTTATTTCCCTTCAGATTGTGTCGATGCCTCACCTCATCAATATTCCTGAGGTTCATCAGATGAGTACCGAGGATTTTTTTCTGGAAAGTTTGATTTCTTGGCTGTGAAAGACTCTCTTTTTTTGGATGGAGCCCGTTTTCCACCAGTTCGATGTTTCCAGCTGGATTCTCTCTTTTTGTTTCTAAACACAACTCTGGAGTTTAACCAGCATTTCTGACCTTTTATGGTCCCACATCATGAGCAAAGAGGGGAAATAGAAAATACTCTCCATCTGTGCAAGTTGTGAGCATGATAGTTTGAAAATTAAGTGAAGCTCCAACTTCCTTCTTGGTGTGTGGATTCATGAAGGCATAAGAAAGACGTCTTTTGAAAACTGGGCTGCCACGTCAAAATTCAAGATGGCTACCACCATTTATGTAAGTATGTAAACCTTGTGAGCTGGATAACTTAAAAAATAAGCAATGTGGCGACTTCTACTTTGGTGTGCGGCTGAATCAAGATGTTAAAAATGTCACTTTTAAAAACTGAGTTGCCAAGTCAAAATCCAAGATGGCCACCACTAAACATATAAATGTAAACTGACCACACCTATCATTTTAGGAGACTATGCTTTCTAAGTTTTTATTGCTTAAAGTAAAGTTTTCTCAAATGATTCGGGTGGCCAAAGATTATTAATCCATGATGGTCAAGGCCACCACTGGCCACCCCCTGGCTCCTCCACTGCTCCTGGACATGAAAATGTCCAACTCCACTTGCCAGGCTCCGTCTCACTGCGCTGCCTCGAACAAATAAAAATAAAAACTACTTCTATTCTTCTGCAGTGCAACTCCTGCTCACTTGAATACTTTGCACCAAAAACATCAAGATTTACTCGTTCGATTGAAAACATCTACAAACATCTCTCAGCCACGGGGGACATCGGCGGACCGTTTAATATTTTAAGCACAGTGAGACGGACACGACGGACTATCTGTGATCGGGTCCAGGAGTTTACAGCTGGTTTTCTGTTCTGACACATTTCAAGTCTGCAGGAACGGAGTTTGAATCGTTTAAAAGAAAATCAATGAAGATGCTCGTTCCTCCTCCTGAACCACTGCTTCTCTTAACTGGCTTCAGTTATTCAAATTCACGACCCACAATTAACTCCTGTAAAACTGACTCTTGGATGTAGTTCTGGGTTTTAGTCGTGTTTCTTGCTTGTCTTGTCTGGGCTCCCCGTCCTCCTGACACTTTAATAACCTACAACCTCCTGCAGGCCTGCATCTTTTCATACAACGACTTGGTATCGACGCAGATGAGTCAGCAAAACGTTGTGAGCAAACGGTCGACAACAGCACCCAAAAAATACAAAAGAGGAAAAATATAATCTTTGCCTGACAAAGACCCAGATGGTAATAAAGAAAGAAAAATATCTCTTTTCAGTCTGCAAGCTCAGCACAAACTTTTCCTCCAAACACAAGTCCTCACCTCAGCTCCGGGTAGACGTTGTCCAAATACCACTTGAAGGATTTGCACTTGAGCTTCTGCCTCAGTTCCACTCTGCCTCGAATGCTGGCGAGACAAAAGGACAGCACAGAAGTGAGTCGAAACAGAACATCAGACCGCCACGTTACTAAACCCCTCCACAGGTGACCAGAAACAGAACATGGAGTTCAGTCTGAAACAGAAAAGACAAATGATGATGAGGATTCACTTGTTTCTAACAGATAATTTGACATTTATCAGTGTTTTGTGTTAAGATTGAGTGATTGTGAAGAGTTTATGTAAACCCTGTTGATCCCACTGGGTAAAAAACACAAAGCTTATGATTCATCATCGACACTCAAAACCACGAAGCAAGTTGCTTCTTTTTGATTCTGAGAAGAAAGTGGAAATATTTTTTAAAAAAGTCACAAAGTTGAGCTCTCATCAACCTCCATCTTATATTACAGATTTTATTGTTCCTCATTTTCCTAACAGAGCACTTCACTCTCAGACTGCAGGTTTACTTGTGGTTCCTAGAGTTTCCAAAGGCAGAACGGGAGGAAGATCTTTCAGTTCTCAGGCTCCTCTCTTGTGGAACCAGCTTCCAGTTTCTGTCTATGAGGCTGACACATTGTGCAGTTTTAAGACTTTCCTTTTTGATAAATCCTATAGTTAGGGTTGGCTTGTTATGCTGCTATAGGATTAGACTGAATAGTTTGTATTTGTAATTATTTCTGTCTTGAAATGTGCTTTTTTTTTTCTTTCCTCCTAGAGAGGAACCTGCTCACTTCCATCCTGGACCTGTCACTCTGTGTCTGTTTCTACTTCCTGTCCTCTCAAACCCAGCCGGTTGAAGAAAACGGACGCACGTTCTGAGTCTGGTTCTTCTGGAGGTTTCTTCCTGCTAAAGCGAGTTTTTTCTTTCCACTGTCTCCTTTGTGCTTGCTCAGGATGGGAGACTGTGATGAAGTGAAGATTCAACACAACCTGCTGCTTCCTTAGATAAATGTATAAGAATGTTTCTGTTCAGAGCCCTGAGATGATTTCTGTTGGAACTTGGTGCTATAGGAATAAACTGAACTGAATTAAACTGATGTAAATTAGAAAAGATGGAACGAGAAGACGTGAACCCCACTGCACTCTGACTGCTCCTTTCCTTTTATTTTTAATGTATCTGAGGGGTATATGAGTGCACTTTCACTGGATTAACTCCAAAATAACATGAAATATTTTATTTCAACCAGTTCCATGTTTGTTACACCCGCCGCTCACAGATCCTGTCTCAGTCCTTCACAATAAAAGTCTCAGACACACGTTTTCTTGAGCTTCAGACGTGTTTGAGGTTAGCACTCGGTGAAGGCATCAAAGTCTCGGACTGAAACGAGTTCTGGTGCAGAGGGAGAAATAAACCGCACCTCACACTGGTTTAAATGTGGGTTTTAATGGTAAATCCATTAAAAATGCACCTGCGATCCTCAGAAACAATAATAATAAAAAATGGAACAAACACAGTCAGGTTCACTTCCTATAGTTTAGTCTTAAAAGAAGACGTTGCAACTTTTTCTGTCTGTTATTTCCACTTTTAAAACTTAAAATTCGATGAATAATTTTCCTTAGTTTTATGTTTTCAGCGGCCCTCACTCAGTCATAAGTGTCTCGTTTATATCAATCCAGGGCAAACCAAACATCTTCATGCAAATCATCCCTCTAATGACACTCACCCTGCTGAAGTCGTTTTAAACCGACGCACCGAGCTCTAAACACTTGTGGTGGTGATTAAGCAAAATAGTTTGTGTTTCTGAGTCAATTCGTGCAAGTTACATGAACGTGATGCAGCACCGGGGGGGGAGCAGGTCTGTCCTGAATGTGAATCTGTGGCGTGCGTGGGAGTTTCATGTGTTCTTACTCTCCGTAGGATTTGCCTCGAGCCGCCGGGCGAGCGGAGTAGTAAAACAGACGGAAATCGTCCATCCACACCTCAGCTGTGCGTCGTGTGTTCCTGCAGACAAACACGCACACGGTTACAGTGAAACACACTGACTGCAGTTCCCTTTGATGTTTGCTCATACCCAAACTTTAAATCACAATCAGAGGTTGAGTTAATGGCAAACAAAACCGAGGAGTCATTAGGATGGAATAATCTGTGTTCGTGTCAGTTTCCCTGCAGAAAGAGTCTCGTTGGTGCAGCTGGACACATCAGAAGGAAACTCCGTGTCTGCAAACAAAACTTCATGTCTTGGATGCAGAAAAACTGGTCCATGCATTTGTCACGTCTAGACTGGACTATTACCACGGTTTATCATCTGGGTGTCCAAATACTTTTGTTAAAAGTCTTCAGCTGATCTAAATGTTGCTGTCAGAGTCTTAATGAGTTGACAGGAGAGATCATCTCTCTCCAGTTTTAGCTTCTCTCCATTAACTTCCTGTCAAATCCAGAACTGAATTCAAAATGTTCTAAACTACAAAACCCTCAACAACCTAGCTCCATCTTATATGGCAGATCTTATTGTTCCATATTTTCCCAACAGAGCACTTCACTCTGTAGATTGCAGACTTCTCAGACTGCAGGTTTACTTGTGGTTCCTAGAGTTTCTAAAAGCAGAACGGGAGGAACATCTTTCAGTTCTCGGGCTCCTCTCTTGTGGAACCAACTTCCAGTTTCTGTCCGTGAGGCTGACACATTGTCCAGTTTTATTCCTTTTGATAAATCCCATAGTTAAGGTCTGCTTGGTTATGCTGCTATAGGCTTAGACTGCTGGAGGACAAACTGACCACATTTCATCAAATGAATCTTTACAAACGAATATAAATGAATCATTTGTATTTCTAATTGTTTCTGTTTTTATACATGATTTTTGTCTTTCCTCCTAGAGATGGACCTGCTCGCCTCCTTTCTGGACCTGTCGTTCTGTGTATGTTCCTCCTTCTTGTGCTCTCAAACCCGATGGTCCTGAGCCTGGTTCTGCTGGAGGTTTCTTCCTGTTAAAATGGAGATTTTCCTTTCCACTGTCTCCTTTGAGCTTGCTCAGGATGGGAGACTGAGACGAAATGACTCAACACAATCTGCTGCTCCATTCCTTAGATAAGTAATGTTACTAATTTAATTTTAATATATGTGAATGTTTCTGTTCAGTGTCTTGAGACGACTTCTGTTGTGACTTGGCGCTATATGAACAAACTGAATTGAATTGTTTATCTGTGAAGATGGTGTTGTCACGTGTGGATAATTTTGTATTAACCATTTTGTTTGACACCACCGACGGGACTTGATTTGAACTTTATTCAAGTTCAAGTTCCTTTATTGTCCTTTGCATCACATGTGGTGCCTGAAGTGGAACCTACATCTGTTAAACATCAGAAAGACGTAACAAAAAGACAAGGATTAGTGGTTCTACTTTCAAAAATAAGATCCATGCTGCCTTGAAAGATGGGTGATTATGTAACTGCCGGGGTGCATGTGTGTACATTTGGCTGAGTGTTAGCAAAATGATCTCATGACCCAACGGACAGATGGATCAGATCACTGGATGCACATCTACAACTGTTAAAGTGTTGAGTCAACCGATATCAGGCTAACAGCTAATCAGAGAGCAAACATCTGATGACCAAAATGACGAGAACATTCATGAGCAGGTGGATAAATGACCACATTAGATGTTTTTACAGCCTTTCAGGTTTGCACGAGGACGTTAATTACACTGTCACTACTTTCTGACTGTGTGCACCGAAGCTGCTGAACGTATCCCGCCATAAATCTGATGTTTCCATTTTCTGCAGGTCTGATCCCTGAACAACAACTCCAGACTGTAACTGACGAGTGATTAAATAAGTAAAGTCAATGTGACGTTTTTTCTGTTAAGAAAAAATAACATTTAAGTCAATAAGTCGGTTATTTATCAGTGACTTTAGGATGAAACACCCAATATCGGCGGCAGGATATATTAGCAGCAGTTAGCACAGCAATATAAAAACTGTTTAGTGGTTCGAGGTCTTACAGCTCGGCTCTGGACAGATCGTGTTTGAACAGTCCAATGCAGATAAAAAGGCTTCACTTTCAAAGGTGGTCTAAGGTAAACGCCTGTATTCAGCTCAGTCCAAGCACAAACAGTCTGGTAGAGACCGAAAACAGCAACGAGTCTGAATGAGGCTTTGAGTGTGATCAGCACTCTGTCATCAGCAGTTTGGACTGTCTGGTTCTGGTGTTCATGGAAAAGGGGCTGCATGAGGAAGGATGATGGAAACAAATCAAAACAGACACCATCAGGCTTCTTCAGCCCTCCTACAGCTTTTAAACACACAATGCCTGCAACAAAAAACACCAACCTCAGGATGAACTCTGGACGACGGAATATATTTTAATCCCAGCAGCCACGGAGTCCCTTTTCCCAAAATAAGTCACTAATAATCATTGGCACTAGAAGCATTTGTAATGTGTGTGTGTGTGTGTGTGTGTGTGTGTGTGTGTGGGGGGGGGTTATTAAACATCTAGTTTTATCTATACAAGAAAACACTTGATTCAATAACTACAGTATTTTAGAGTTACTGGCACAACAAGAAGTAGCCTGACCAACAGCTCTCCTTGTGTGAATAGAGAATCCTCCCGCCACGTCAAAAAGTGCTGGAACTAACATAGCGCTAAGCTAGCTGTGTGCATTAGCTAAGATGCTACAGACGTAGCACTCAACTTCTCTTTCGAATCCTAACCCCTCACCCCCGTCAACAACTGCTAGCACTAATTTGGCGCTAAGCTAGCGTGCAAAACAGAGGTGTCTCTCCCTCCTCCCCCCGTGAGCGCCCTGCCAAGGGAGATGACCTCAAGGAAACACTGCATGCGGTGTAGTGAGCTGTTGGTGGTAATCAGGAAAACCTGGAGTAGATTTTTACTGGTTTGAGTTTAATGGATTCGTTCACGAAAGAATAGAAACAATGCTGGGTGAACTAATATTTCATGATAAATGTGTGTGTGGGAGGGTCCAAAAGGATACTTCTTAAATGTGTGTGGGGGGGGGGGGGGGGAGACACGTCCCTTTCACATATAATTGTTGTGACGACTATGCTAATAATGTATGTAAATAGTGTCAAACCTGCAGCTGCTGTACAGATTGTGATGTCCATGAGAGCTTTGGATGTTTTTCTTCATCACAATGAGATTTTCAGGTATAAAATAATCCTGTTTATACCTTCTGTAAATCATGTCCCTGCATCTGTGCCTCATCAGCTCGTTTCTGTTCAACTCACTGCACTTTATTCACCCACACTGCTCCAACAGAGGAGCCCATTTTCTCTGCCTCTCATCCATATTTACCCCTTTTGTCTCATTTTGGTTTTCCTCTCTGTAGTAATTAGCTATTAGCAGAGTTTCTGTGAGCTGTGAACGATCTCATTGAGTTGACAGAAACCCTCCATTATGAGCATTACCCACGCCGGCCGTGGCAGTTTAATGAAAGGGGGAACAGAGAGAGGACATGCGATGCTTTGTAGGCGTGCACACATAAATATGTGTCAGATGCTTTATGTTGGTGCCTCTCGCTGCGCACACACATTCACACAAACACACATCGGCAAACTGCGACAAAGAAGACAACCTTTGTCATCAAATTATCAAGCAACGATTTCTGTTGAGTGCGTCCATAATCCTGACTGCCAACTCTGAAGCATCCAGCTAATTAAGCAGCTGAGCAACACGAGCCGACAACAGCAGCTTTGTTTCAAAAAGTGCTGCTGATCACAAACTTCAGGCCGTCGGGATGCGACGAAAAGTCATCATCCTTGGCGCAGAACAGATGTTGCCTCGGTAACGACTGCAGGGAGCAAAATGAACAACTAAAGAGTCTGGCTAAATAAAAACATCTCAGCGGTGGTGTGAATTAGCCAGTTGACACAAAACAATAAGTTCTTATGAGCCGTTTGGATGAAGATTTGCTCCAAAGTGTCGTTCATCTGATGGAGAGCTTGTTCCGGGAACCGACCCGTCCGGCTCAGGATGTTGAGAGCTCGTCTCTGCCAATTAAAGCAGACAAACAACTCAACTCCCACACCGTGTACCGTTAATGCTCTGCTTACATACCGAGGTTAATGAATGGCTGCAGCGGTAAAAGAATAATCTCTTAGATAAATCATCAGTCTGTGGCATTTAGAGGGGCTCGTGACGAACGCTGTGATGGAGCGCTGCAATTAACTTCTTCTTCTTCTTGGTGTTCTTCTTGTTGTTATTGTTCTTGCTTTTTTTGTTGTTGTTCTTTTTGTTGTTATTGTTCTTGCTTTTTTGGTTGTTCTTTTTGTTGTTATTGTTCTTGCTTTTGTTGTTGTTGTTCTTTTTGTTGTTATTGTTCTTGCTTTTGTTGTTGTTGTTCTTTTTGTTGTTATTGTTCTTGCTTTTTTGGTTGTTGTTCTTTTTGTTGTTATTGTTCTTGCTTTTGCTGTTGTTGTTGCTTTTCTTCTTGTTGTTCTTGTTCTTACTTTTCTTCTTGTTGTTGCTTTTCTTGTTGTTGTTCTTGTTCTTGCTTTTCTTCTTGTTGTTATTTTTTGTTCTTGTTCTTGCATTTCTTGTTGATGTTGCTTTTCTCCTTGTTGTTCTTTTTTGTTCTTGTTCTTGCTTTTCTTGTTGATGTTGCTTTTATTCTTGTTCTTTTTGTTGTTATTGTTCTTGCTTTTTTGTCGTTGTTGATTTTCTTGTTGTTGTTGTTGTTCTTGCTTTTCTTGTTGTTGTTTTTCTTGTTGCTCTTGTTCTTGCTTTTCTTGTTGTTTTTGCTTTTCTTCTTGTTGATCTTGCGTTTCTTTTTATTGTTGCTTTTCTTGTTGTTGTTCTTCTTGTTGTTCTTGTTGCTTTTCTTGATGTTCTTGTTCTTTGTCTACGTCTTCGTTTACTTGGGATCTTTAGCCTTTATGACACAGTTTTCATCAAATCTGTTTTTATGACTGGAGTACATCACAGCAAAACCACTAAGTTTAAATCACAAACTTTAAACTTTTTAGGGGCCGAAGCAAAAGTGTCTGTTTACTTGTCTCGCAGGGACAGACTGCAGGCTGGACCCCAACTTGATGCCGTGGTTCTGTGGAAGTGCAACACCAAGGCCAGACTGACGTTGGGGTTTTGCTTCCACAGAGACACTGGACACCTGGAGAACTTTGTGAAACTGTGGGGATTTAAGAAGGTTTTATGCACCATTTCTGATCAGGGACCACTACAATACAACAAGCTCCTCGTGTAAATATTTTAATTTAAGCTTGTCCTGATCACATTTTTTTTAACAGTGTTGTGTTAACTTATTGTGTAAATAAAGTTTTGTTAATAATCAAAAAATCTTGTTCTTCTTCTTCTTGTTCTTCTTCTCCTCTCAGTTTGTTGTGAAGACTTTTTACAACATTTGCATTTCAAATCAGGCCTAGAAACATCACTTAAATTCTTGCAGTATTCCGAAAAAAATACTTCGAATTTTAGGGAATTTTCTTCCTATAAAGGTGGTCGCCTTTTTATGTAGTCAACGTTCAAACTATTTTTTTAATTGCTGTTTAAAAAACAATTTGTTTCATCTACTTTGTGTTATTTTAGCTGTTCATTGATTAAAACATTTCACTCGTTCAGGAGACGGGTGCTCTGAATTTTGGTTTTTAAAACTTTTACCTTCATTTACAAATTTTTTATCCGTAAAAAAACACAGAGATCTCTTTAATTCTTAAAAAAATAGTTCTCTTTGAAACTTGCATCAGCAAACTGGATTTATCCATGTTTCTTTTTGCTGCGTTTAGCTTTTAAATAGCCTTTTGCAGCTTTTAGCTATCCGTTTGTTACTAATAGCTTTTAACTTGAATTTAGCTACTTTAGCCAGTTTTAGCTAGCCTTGCAATAATTTCGATTAGCATTTTTATATTTTGAGCTAGTATTTTACTACTTTTGGATTTTAATCTTTTTTGTGACTTTAGGTTTTAGCTAGTCTTTTGCTACTTTTAGCTTCCAGCAAACATTTAGCCATATTTAGCTAGTATTTTTCTCGTCTTAGCTTTTAGTTAGCGGTTTGCTCTTTTCAGATTTTAGCTGGTGTTCTGTTTTTATTAGCTTTAACAACTCAGTTTTACCTTCTTCAACAAGCTTCAGCTCAGTCCTTCAGCCCTCAGCTGCTCACAGTTCAATCATTTGAAAAATATCAGTTTTTGCACCATGACGACAAGTTTGAGGCTTAATTTTCTGTTTCTGTCTGCCTGTCATTAATGCAGCCGTTAAGTGAGGGACGGACAAAGGTGTGTGGTTACCATGGTGACCACACTGAGCCACTGACAGCAGCTTTGATATTTGTTTTGATCTTGATTCTCTTTACACGTATACATCAAAATGTAGGCTGGTTTTTGTTCAGCTTGGATTTTTACGAGGCTAAATGAGAAGCAGCCGAGCTGGAAACCTCCAAAGTTTCTAAGAATTTTTTTATTTTTTATATTTTATTCATGGTGTACGAAGTAAAATCAGCTTGATGCTGCAATAAAATCTCATCGTAGCCTCGATTGCTGTGTCTAAACAAGATCAATGCACGTGTTGTGAGCACATTAGTCGTGTTAATGGATTACTGGGCTGCCTGTAAACACGCTTCTGTTTGAAAGAGCCACAGAGCGGCATACAGCTTATGCTAATGGGATAATATTGTGTTCGCAGCTCAAAGGCTCGCAGGCGGCTGTAAATCCACTTTAACAATGATGTGAGCCGAGTCTGACGGCTGTGACGCGCCGCTCAGAGTGGAGACGCTAAAGGTCCGTTTGCTCAGGGTGCAGCCGGTGAACCTGTGGTTCAGTCGGGAGTTACTGGTTAGCTCGACGGGTTTCCCACAACAGATTACAGGAAAACATCACGTTAGAGGTGTTTTTAGTCCCATTATGAACTGATTCACTGTTAGGGGAAACACCGAGAACAGGTTTTAGGTTTACTAACCCAGGACAGAACCAGAGACCACCATGACCAAAACCAGGGGAGGACATCAGAACCAGAGACTCTGCTGGATTATCATCAGCAGAACATGAATGCATGGTGCTAAAAATACAAAACATCTATGATTTATTGCAGTCCAAACAATCAGTTGTGATATTGATACTGCATTCCCTGATACTGTACGATGATACATTTTCAGTATACAGTTCATCGTTCATCGCGGGGGATCCGTACCCTGAAGACCCGCGAGAAGTGAAAAACCGTGACGTAGGGATAGCCCAAGTAGTAAGTTTTAGTTTATTTTTATATTATATATTTTCTGACAGTTATGTTTGATTTAAGCTGTTCTGGCTATGTAGCAATCTGTCCAGTAGGTGTTTTTATTTTTATTTTGTTTTGCCAAGACAGTTTTTGTAGAAGGGTAAAAACGTGCTCCATATGAGAAGCGATCAAAATTGATTCTTTTGTCCCTCACTGGTTGGGTGTGTAAATGAACAGTCTACCATTTTTAAACGCTGATTGGCTGAGGGGGTGGTGGGGGGAGCAGCGTGAGGAGGAGACGTGGGAAAAAGCGAACACAGACAGACGATTTAAATAAAAGAGACTAAAACTTTTCCAAAGTTTTATTGTTAGTTCGGGTGATTGAGGGGTTTTGTATAGCTGCGATAGGGAACGCAGCTGGACTTCACAGAGCCGTGCTGAGCTCACAACAGCAGCTGTGGTGAGACTGCTGCGCCGCGACGTCACACCGGTGTGGGAGTGAGACGCCGGCAAACCAGATGAGCGTCTCAGGTGAAGCTGCAAGGACTTCTGTCGCTGAGGGAACGTTGTGCAGACCGTCTGTGTTGAGGCTGCTGGATCCGTGCCACATAACGTCGAGAGGTGACACACACGGACACAGGAAGTACTTGGAGGTTGAGTGAGTACTCGCATCTTTTCGTCACCCATTGGAATTAACGGGTTACACTGTAATTGGCCCCACCGCTCCCGAGCGTGGTCCAGGCTGCAACGTGGGGGGTTCATCCACATACACTTGGTAATTTTTGAACAGATAAACAGCGCTGAATTTTATTTGGGGGTTTGCAGTTAATAGCACCAGCTGGTGTTGGTGCAAAAGTGGATCCACAAATTAATGAGTTCTTACAGCTGCACTGTAAAAATGTGATGGTTTGAATTGAAGAAGAAACTAAGCTCAACTGATCTCTCACTAATTTTATTTAATTTTTGTGTTGAATTTAGCTTTTTTTCCTCCGTCTTAATAAATTACAGAGTGATAAGATACATTATTTGATTATTTGGGTTATTTATATATATATATATATATATATATATATATATATATGCATTTTAAACCCTTCACACTCTTGGAAGATTTTAAACAATGTTTCTAAACTCTAGATGCACTTAAAGAGAACGGCATGTCATGATTTCAGCTTCCTGCCTCCTCTGCTCTTTGCAAGTGCTCTTGGCCACGCCCACTTCTCCGCTCTGCAAGGTGAACAGCTGATCAGCTGCAGCAGGAAGTTTATCCTGCAGCGTGTGCTGCACAAAGATGCATCAGGTGCTAAACATTTTAAAATAATATATTTTAAATAAAAATGCCATGCCGATCGTGCGGCTCATCCATCAATCAGCCAATTGTGAGTCATGCCTAATCTTATTCTGAAAAACTGCGATAGAGCAAGTCCACGATAAACAAACTGCAAATTAGCGAGGGGCTACTGTAATGTATTGTGCAGCCCCAGTGGAACTGAACACTTTTAAAACATATGAAATACAATGTTTATGTTGTCTGGTTGGAACACGATTAAGCATTTATTATCAAAACAGTTTTAAAATATAAATAAATCCTAATGGGATCACAGCAAGCACTGAACGTATCAAAACTCATCCAGAAATACTAAAACATTAAATACGTGATGTATAAATATAGTGCACAGAGATTAAACGGCTCCAAGATCAACACTGAATACAGACAGAAATGATTTAATTCATTTAATGGTGATCATTAATGAATTAGCAGCAGAAGCACAAGCCGGTCCTGTCCGTTCAGTCTTTGATGTTTGTGAAGGACAAAGTCTTACTTGATGTACGTGTTGGCGTTTCCCTCGGGGAAGACGTACGGGTGCTTCTTCCTGAAGACGTGACCGACCCGGCTGCAGGGGAGGATCTCCAAACTGCCGCCACACTGCCACACCCGGAACGAGATCTCTGCGCACAGAAACAAAGCTAACTAACTAACTAACTAACTATTATACAGCAACTATAATGGCCTGGACAAGCAAAGACCTTGTTATAACTTTGACCTTGATTTGTGACCTTGACCTTTACATGCCAGCCCATCTAGAGATGACGCATGTGTGTAAGAAGTTTCAATAATTCATCTGGAGTGGATCAGAAGTTATTGGTGGACAAGAGAACGTTTATGGACAGTCTGTTGGATATGTCCGTCTTTTCCCGGACGTATAAAAATCAACTCGTTGGGATTTTAAGGCGCTTTGTTGTTGTTTCTGCACTTGACTACGTGGGTCGGACCTCCATGAATATTTGAAGATCAGCTCAGAGATCTGGTGGTTTTCTTTAGTCTGTGTCATCATTTCACCAGTTTCCACAACCGGCTTTAAATCCCTTGCCTCTCTGTTCTGAACCCATCCAGAAAAGATTAACTAATTTCACTCAACCCCCCCCCCCCCCCCCCACACACACACACACACACACACAGCAGCTGTCTGCGAGAGACACTGATGCAGTTTCCCCAGAAGAACAAGAGCTCGGAAACTTCAGAAAGTTTTACTCCAAGAATGAGAGGAGAGGCGTGGAGGACGGGGAAATTAGAGCGTGGACCGGGTCTGATGGAGGGAGGGGGAGAGAAGGAGGGAGGGGGAGAGATTGAGGGAGGAGGGAGAGATGGAGGGAGGAGGGAGAGATGGAGGGAGCGATGAAACAGTAGACAGAACAAAGGCGAACAAGAGGAGTCAGCACGATGGGGAGATACAGACACAGAGCTTCGGAGACTGACGGAGACATGACAGAGAGCAAACGAGAGTGTGTGTGTGTCCTTGTTTATGCTACTTTGTAAGGACCATTTTCCCAACTTATACTACATTGTGAGGACCAACTGCTCCGTATGGGGCCCAAAGCCCGGGCCCCATAAGAAGAAAACCCATTGGTGGGTTAGGGGTTAGGTTTAAGACTAAGGTGTGAATTGAGGATGTGTTAGGGTGTCAGGGTTAGGTTTTAGAAATTAATGAAAAATGAATGGAAGTCAATGCAACGGCCCCATAAAGATAGTAAAACAGACCTGTGTGTGTGTGAGTGTGTGTGTGTTAGGGAGGAAACAAAGGCTAATAGTGTTTCACTGATGTGAGAGAGGCAGCAGCACAGCAGTCAGCAAGCTGCAACACTATTACCCCCCCCCCCCCCCCCCCACACACACACACACTCACACACACACACAGCTTCAGATGAGTGGAGGCCGGCGGCAGCAGGAGCGCCAGATGTTGCTGCTGGATGAGTGTCAGCTTCTTGACTTCTATCAGCCGAGGGAAAAGTTCACCTTCATTCATCTGCAGCTGAAGGACCTTTACTGTCCCGTCAGTGAACTCACCGTCTGAATCACTCGTCTCCTTATCGTTAATTTATGATCACGCAGCGAACGTCAGGTGATCCGTCCACGTCTCGTGGCCTCATAAACAACGTTTCATGCACATCTTGAAAGAGTGCGTTGGAAAATGTTAGAAATATGAAGAACAACTTCTTCACTTTAACACTTGAAGGATTATTTTATAAACGGCGGTTCATGAATGAATCATTTCATAAACTCGATCGCAGCGGTCATTATTTCTCAGCTTTCAGAGACGACAGAGCGAACAACAGAAAACTTTCAGTTTTTAATGAAACCTGATCATTTTAACGTTCCTGGATCTGTTTAATGTGAAGTTCACGCACTGACGCAGATGTTGCCTTATCTTTACACGTTCCTTCTTCTGATCAGTAAAATATTTTACTTCAGCTGATTTTCATCTCTATGAATCCTCTATTTATGTCTAAAACGTTTTGTCTTCTTTCTGAACGTGAACAGCTGCTTCATTTTGACCGACTTCATAACCAAAAGCTGATGATCCAACACAACTTCCTTTATTTATTATTAACAAAACCACAGATCTGAGCTGGTAATTACAGTTTACAATAAAAATCATCTCAGAGCCATGCACAGAAAAATTAATAATAAATAAATACATTTGAAGATGGTGTGAACTTTGTTAAATGATTTCACAAAAATCTGCAGAAGAAGCCAAAACCAAACCGCTAAAGCTAAAAGCTAAGAGTAACAAAATGCTAGCCAGTAGCCAAAATTATTCAAAAAACAGCTAAAACGTTTACAAACATTCAGCTCAGCTCACAAACTCCTTAGCTGACTTAATGTAATTAAAAAAGCTCTCGCTGCGTTAACCTCACTGCCAGTATGAACTCATTTCCCACAAAACGGACAGATCGTTTTAATGAGAGCTTTTGCTCAACTGACCTCGGAGTTTTTGAAACATCCGAACTCGCTACGTTGATAACTTCCTTTATCGAAAAGGAGTGTTCCTCCCAGACCCGTTCCCATGAAGAGAACACCACAAGAACCCTTTGTTTAATGGCATTCCTCTTCAGGAGATGGACAGTGACACCTTTGGTAAAACATTTCATGTTTTAAGTTTAATCCTAAATATGTCATGCCTGAATGTTTATTCATGAGAATGTGTGCTTTAAGTCATCTTTATTTAAGATAATACACTTGTCTTATTTTCTCTTTTCAAATGGAACTTTTAAGGCAGGGAAAAGGGACTCTAGGCCTTTATGGAACAACAAAGCCAAGAGTTAGGACCACCTCTTCTGAGAGGCGGACCGTCGCCTCTGTTCCACACAGACAGTAAGTTTCACTTCTTCTAGGAAAACTTTTGAGAAAAACACACGCCTTGAAGAGAGGCTCCGAAGCCAGCACGCTTCAACAGAGAACTGGAGAGAAGAAACCCAGCATCTGCACTTGACCTCTGAAAGGAGAGAAGCATCCTTTCTGCAGACGACTGAGCAGAGACGGGACAAAAGATACAGAAGTTACCCAGCAGAACCAGAACCAGGCATTAACCCGAGAGCTGTCTACCAGGCAACCATCACTCTGCAGAATGGTAAATCCCAGCTGACTGCCATATGGACCTTCGTCCCTCTAACGATGGCAGGTGAACTTTGAGGAGACTTCAGCCTCTCAGTCACCGGAACATCTGAGGCTGGTACCATTTAAGCAGCTGTCAGAACCATGCCCTGACCCTCTACATCCTGGTAGGAGAGACTTTTCAATGCCTTCCTGGTGAACCGACATCCCAACTTATCAGACAAACTTAGCTCATCTTAGACACAATTTGAACCACTTCACAAACAGAAACCAGTCCAAAATCTGCCTTTTAAGTTTCACGGATTCAACATCATTTGATATTCAGTTAACTTTTGTTATGCATAATTTTCATCATATATATCACAGATTATTATTTTTATAATAAAATACATGAAAATCAACTGAATTTGTGATTATCTTGGCATATCTGTGCGTATTAATTGATTAGATATTTTTAAACATGAGAAAATAATTCACGTTAAGTTTACATTGATTTAGGGTAAATAGACTGATCAGTCTATTTGTCTGGGATCAGCGGACACTGGGCCCGACACCGGGGACTCAACTCCGCCCTCGTCAGGTGCCAGAGAGACGGACGTGTCGGCCCTGTCATCAGATATTCTGCTCCATTAAATTATGATACTTCTGCGGTAATTAAATCTGAAATGAAAGCTGCCCCTCGCGGAGGATCTCGCCGGCGAACTTCAAGCAGTGAGGGAGGAAGTGGCGAACGGCATCATGGCGCTCCACACAGAACTGGACCGGGTCAGGCTGAGTGTTAAACAACAAGATGGGCTGAAAAAGAAATGTGAGGACGTGGAGGGACGCATGAGAAGGTGCAACGAGCACATTCTTGGCGTCCTTGAGACGCTGGAGTCAAGCTCCACCGCAGCGGTCGATAATCTGCTCACAGAGACGCCGCAGCTGGACGAGGTGCCGCTGATCCACCGTTCGCACCAGATGCCGGGCGGGAAGAATTCAGGTGAGCCGAGCATGTTTTTTTTTTTAAATGGAGTGTGTTATAAATTAAAAAAACAATAAAAAAAGACTTTGATCAAAATGCTGTAAGCCTTGTAGCTCCTCATGCTAACACCATTTAATAACTCTTTGCTGCCATACTGGCAGAAAAATAACATTCTAGCAGAATAGACCATCAGGCGGCAGTGGAAGTGCTACAGGAAGCTGCTGCTGCTGTTCGAGAATGAAAACAACAGAATTTTATCACTTTCTTAGAAATTGACCGGAGTTTTGTGTCTTGTCTAGGCTTCACTCGGTCGGCTCAGAAATCTTGATCGATTTGAACTTTTTCTCCAAACGGAGGACGTTTGAAATGTTATCTACAACAGGTAAGACATTAACTAGTAAAAACCTCTCCGCAATATCTCATTGTTAAAAGTCTGAACTGTCACTTTAACCCCGTCAGCTCTGGTTGCTGCTGTCAGTGTTTCCTGTTATGAGCTCTGAACATGTTCTCCTTCAGCCTCACCTCCTCCTGACACAAACACGGACCTCCTTCAGCCTCACCTCCTCCTGATACAAACACGGACCTCCTTCAGCCTCACCTCCTCCTGACACAAACACAGACCTCCTTCAACCTCCTCCTGACACAAACACGGACCTCCTTCAGCCTCACCTCCTCCTGACACAAACAAGGATCTCCTTCAGCCTCACGTCCTCCTGACACAAACACGGACCTCCTTCAGCCTCACCTCCTCCTGACACAAACACAGACCTCCTTCAGCCTCACCTCCTCCTGACACAAACATGGACCTCCTTAAGCCTCACCTCCTCCTGACACAAACAGGGACCTCCTTCAGCCTCACCTCCTCCTGACACAAACA